CTCATTGAGCAGGGGGCGGCGGCGGGGGCGGGGGAGTTGAAAAGAGCATAATTTAACAATATATTATATTATTTTGAGACTCATATGTATGACTACATGCGAATGCAAGAGGGGGGGGGGGGTATTTTAGTCAGGTAGCATTATTGCTTACTCATGTACACCAAAAACACGTCATCTCGCCTAAACAGATGTTTTACGCCAAAACGCTTCAACTTGATTGATTGCCATGTTTTTGGTGTATATTTATATCTTTTCCTGGGCGCCGAATCGAACTACGGCTTTTAAAATGTTCAAAAATCGACGTAAATTGATTTTTTCAACGATAGTTGGTATACAACGATGAGCACATGAGTGAGTAGACAGTGGGAAAGTTACGACAACTCATTTCCAGGCGCCATTTTGGGTCCCAATTATGACGCCATAAAAGCTATGACGTCATGGCTTCATACAGGTTTACATACCAAAATTGGTTTTTTTCTTGCAGTATTAGGCGTTGAGGGATAATATAATGTTTTACCCTAAAAAAAATGCAAAAGAAACCAATGCAGTTTGGTTCAGTGATAAATATATCAAACAAAATCATACCCAAAATCGGGGAATTTTCTGAGAGCGATATCTCGTAATCAGTGTGTTTTACTATTTACTCGTTGGATTATAAATGATTTCTTTTTAAATTCCTCAAACACAGAGTGGTTATGCAAGCGAAATGTGCCGAAAAATCGAATTTGACAAACGTCAAATTAAAAAAAAGAAGTATTTGTTATATGGTGCCGGGCGTTTCTTTCATAATGGCCGCCAAATTTGGTATTATTATTATTATTATTATTATTACAGCATATTTATAGCGCGCCCTTTCATAAAACATGTTCAGGGGCACTTTACAAAGTGACAATGTAATCATAAATAAACAACAAGATTATGGACATGTTAACAATTGTATACAGAGTCAGTTAAAAGCCTCATTAAATAAATGTGATTTAAGTTGTTTTTTAAAAGAATATAGCGATGTACAACATCTTAAACTAAATGGTAGATTATCCCATAAAACAGGTGCTTGATAACTAAAAGAGACTAGTTGAACAGTTTTGGGCTTTAAAAATAGTTTATCTGATGTACGTAATGTTCGACCATTATATCGTGGTTATGTACGCGAAATGTGCGGAAATCGAATTTGACAAACATCAATTAAAGAAATGTATTTTCCATGTGGTGCCGGGCGTTTCTTTTAAAAGGGCTACCGAATTTGGTAATACATGTATAAGGCAATTTAACAAAAAAAACATAAATTTGGTAGACTAAAAGGGCATCTCTTAAGATACGTAAGATATGACTTTTGCAATGTCCTTTATATGGTTTTCGATGGGAACCAAATGCTGGGAAAATTTGGGCACACAATTGTACTTTGTAAAAGTTGTATAAAAAAATATTGTGTTCTTGAATGTGTCCAATTTAACAGCGAATTTATTATTATTATGTAACATACTAAGAACCTAACTACATTTTTGGGGCACCAACCACCACCGCCCCCCCGTCAAAAATTTCCCCGTACGCCTATGGTTATGTGTAAGAATATTCAGTTCAATATATTCACGGTGTATGATTTTATTCATACTTCAATTTTAGTGAGTTACTTCTGCAACGTTTTTAGAAAAAATTGCTATTAATTTGGCCAGTACTGTAATAGCAAGTGTATTAATATTTTCTGTTCAGTCTGTACACAGTAACATATCTGAGAACCATATTATCATTTCTGCCCAAGGCTCCCTGTGATTTATAGTTAGCAGTGATACAAGGCAATTACCAATTTTCCATGCTCTTGGCCTGAAGAAATAAAATAATAAAAGTCAAGTTTTTATTATTATGCAAGTGGAAAAATACAATTCTTCATGGTATGATTTGAATAAATACAACTGATTTGAAGTTGGAATTATTATTTGTCTAAGATGACTGGGCATTTACAAATTGAAATAGCTACTCTTCATCAAGAAAATACATGAATGTTTTTCCCAATTCACCTGGATTTTATTGTAGGTCTTTGTACGTGAAATAGCTTTATTTAACGTCCGCTTCCACCGAAGTGATATTGCAGAAAATTAACAAATTCGGATTCCCTTTTAAAGGAATTAGACTACACTATCGCTGGATTGTATTATATTCAAAATGGCGCCCAGAACACAAAACAAACATTGCAATTCAGGGCGGACTGGTGTCGAGGTTGTATCCTAAGAATGATTTTTTGAATATTTAATCAAACAGAACACAATTATGCACATGCAGTTATGATATAATATTAAATTAGCTTACCTCAAATACCTCGAAATATACTGTTTGGTCAGTTTGTCCGCCCGTCATATTTCTATTAGTCACACATCCTTCGGCCAATTAAAATGGACGTATATTTTGTTTTAACCGAAACGAAAAATTTGCGTTATAAATACATTGTATTAGAAAATACCAAAATCACAAACCTGATATTTTTATTTTCTGAACAAACTTTTTTCACAACAATATCACTTTTTTCGATACTAATGCTTAATAATACAGTTAACATTTGCAGTACCACAGGGTTTAATACCGCAAAATTACTTCAATAAATATTTCTTTCTTTGTTTTAAGAGTAATTCATTTTAATTGGTCATTTACAGGTAAGAATAAATTTCCAATTTCGATTTATGAACCAATTAAATTAAATAAAAAGATTAACTCGACTATTTCCACGCCCATTCAAACATTTTTTAAAACGTAGATATAACACAATTGTTATTGTCTTTGATGTGTCAAGTTTATTGGGACGATATCAATCAGACACTTCCAAATGCAGACATTGTAATAACCTGTCTCTGTATATTGTCTGAGACAAGATGTGAAAATAAACAAAGAGTAGAATCAGAATAATCTTTTATTATATCTAATTAAATAAATAGTTTATATTTAGATAATAATTGACTAGAACTTTGATCTCTTATATCAGTATACTGTTATAAAATACGTTGTTTTAAAAGAGATATTAAATGCATCGCACGATACATACATTGCGATTTCTACTTAATGTTTGTAATAATTAATATATCCTTTTAGATAATTAGAAATATTAAAAAATAAATCAAGTGAATTACTCGACATTCAAATTCAGGAAGAGTGGTTTTACATATAGGCTAGGCCAGATCCCTAATCCAGTTCCCCAATCCCATTCAGATTTTCTCAATAAATAAAAAACATAATGTGATAAAGGAACATAATAAATGTTATCTTTAATGTCGACGTAATTAATTATATGGAAAAAAAAAACCACATAAGATTTTATAAATGTACACAAGTTTGTGTTAAGACATTGAAAAGAACACAAACTTGTGTCATTGCAATGCAATACAACACAAACATGTGTTAAATATTTTTAACACAAGTTCTTGTGTTGAGATCCAACACAGGGTTTTTTTCAGTGTACTGGCATACCAATTACATTTGTGTGAGTGTCACGGACAATGACCATAATATGCCCACTTTTCACAGTTAATGCAGGGATCCCAGTGACATAATATTCATTTCTATCTTTTGATTATATGTCGACCTACATTTTAAACCTCAAATATACACATTAAATGATATTTGTTGTAACGGCCATTATTGACCTATGTTATTTGCAAGCAAATATTCTGACAGATAGTAGCTAAGTGCATTGATTTCCGAGTCATTTTGTGTTGGATACAGTAACAGATGTCTTTAAATCTGCGTCTTATTTTTATTTTATGTTTTTTTTAAGTGACGGTTGGTTGCTGAAGGCGGTGGCTTTTGTTGAAACCCGATCAAATCTGTTCAGGATTTCTGAAGTTGGCGAATTTTATACGGAAAAAAAAAGTCACAAATGTACAAGAATGTCATTGTAACGAATGAACGAATCATAAGTGAAAATAATTATAAAAATAAGCAACAAAAATTCTAAGAATGTCCACTGTTTTCAAAGTCAATTCCGATTTTGTCCTAATTCCAATTATTTCAGTGGGTCGAGAAGAAATTAGTAACCTTTTTCAGTTGTGGGTAAGGTGAAGACGGCAGCGAATACTCTTATAAATAAAAGGGGGGGGGTGTATGGCTTAGTGGTTAGCACGTGCGCGCTGTATCATTAAGTCTGTCATTGAGTCAACTGGCGTGGGTTTTCTCCGGGTCCTCCGGTTTCCTCCCACTGCTAAAGACCCCTACGCGCAAGCGAATTATGGAAATAAAATTGAACCATATGTTAGTCCCGAAATGACCTAGTTTGTGTCGAGTGGACGTTAAACCCCATTTCTCACTCTCTCTTATAAATAAACCATATCACGTAGATACCAAAGGCTATGGTGATCTTCAGTACAATTAAGCCAAGAACCCCACCCACAGCATTCTTTAAACCATAATTATTATGCTAATTGTTGTTTATGACCAATAGACCTGGTTAATAAAATTCATTTCTGTAACACTCCGGCCATTATCGAGCCATTTGAATTGTTATTTCTGACCTATAGACCTTCTTTTATAGGGTTAATGGAATTCCTTAACAAATACAATATAATCATAAACGAACCGAGAATACATTCCTACATAAATAAAATTTGTTTTTGCAACAGATGTCTAAGTCTATCTGACAAAACGGCCAAGTGACACAGTTTTACAACAATTACGGCAACCATGTAACGACACTAAGCAGAGCCTGGATATTGTGGAAATGGATGAAGAGTTGTCAAAAACGCATTCACCAAGCAAATTTCTGGGTGGCATGGGAATACAAAACATTACTATTTTTGTTCCAAGCAAATAACCAGATGCCAGTCCCCATTCCATTGCACTTAAAATCCAAAGATTTAATTCATGTAATATAATTAATATATATACGTGACGGGAAATATCAACGATTAAATTATAAAATTATAATGTATTTCTATTTTATTGTCAATGAAATATCCATACATGTACATGTACTTCATTAAAAGTTGGGCGATATTGACTAATATACAACAGCAGTTGAGAATTTACTGAACGTCACATGACGTATGTTAAATAATAGTACGGCCTAAAGTCGAGGTAATTCACTTGTAAAGGAATTATCCAGGTGAATTTAGGTATAATTCAATTATACAAGATGTACAAGATGTTCAGGTATAGAGAAGTGATATTTATTATTAGCTTTTATCTTTAAGATTAAATCAGATGTATTTAAAATCTTTATACATGTATTCCATAAATTGTTGTATTTACACAGACTTCCGACTGCCATCCTAATATATTGTAGTTTAATTTTCTAAATAAGACATTGTTCCTGACCATGTTTAATGGTTTATTACTTTATGTACATTATATGAATTGTAAAAATTTTAGTACAAACAGTACTTAATCTTACTTGCATTATTTTGGGAGATGTTTTATAATATATGTTTTAGACATAACTATAGAAACAGTTGATGCATGGATTGAACAAGAGAAAGCAGAATCCAACTTTATCATAGGGCAACATTTAACAAATTAAATATAGTAATTATCAAATTGTTAACATTAATTCTAACTCTCATCACTTTCACTTTATCATATATATAACAGCATAATATACTGTTTAAATATAATGGTCGTACACAACTCTTTGGATTATTTTATTTGCAAAATAAAGTCTGATTTCTGAAATAGATATTATAGGTAAAATTAATTATATTTATGATGTGTTCGTTAAAAAAGTATTAACATTAGTGTTACTTTGCTCTTATTTTTTTTTAACAAATTTTCACAAGTTGATTTCCTTTATTTTGTTAATGTAGAATGGTAATGAACTGCTCTTTTCATTTTCTTTGTTTTATTTGTTTCGTTTGAATTTGATTTATCAGTTTAGTTTTTGATTGTTTAATTTTTGTTAATGAAGTTGATTCTTTTAAACTTCGTTTTTATTTTTGAACTCTACTTGGTGTAGGTGTTCATCAGGTAATACCTCGACTGAGTTCAATATAGAGATTAGCCGGTTGATTTGTTGGATATAAACCTTTGAATAATAGCGCCTAACAGGCAGCTGTGTTTAATTATATTCTCCTGATTTTGATTGTTTTTGTGTGTTTGAAGTATATGTTTGTGATATGCGCTTAGAAACACTTCACGTGTAATGAAGCGCTATATAAATCGAACAATAATAATAATAATAATAATTATAATTTACACTTTGTCTTGTGAAATGGAATTATTTTAATTCCACTTAATTTTCTTGTTTAGCAACTAAATGATATATTTTAAAATCTGTGATGTATCTAATGTTAAAGGAGCTAAATCTCTAATATTTGGGACCTACAAATTGACACAAATGGGTCGCAACTTATATAATAATGTAATATGAATGTAAATAAACTGATTTACATTCAATCGTTTCCGTTTTTACTCTAATTTCAAAGCAGTTCTGTTCGGCGAAATACGTCAGAAGTCTCAATCGAATGGAAATCTCTAGCGTCTGGTTATTCCAGTCCACACCGATAGTATTTATTGCGCATTCTCTCCAGATAAGAATATGGGGTCACCGTTTGACACGACTTGTGGAAAATGTCTAACCTCGTTCTTCCGAGTCGCTTGTTACAAATTGCACTGAATCGCATTATGGTACACGATTCGTGTACCAATCGTAAAATGTTTATTTTGTCTTAAATATTGGATATCAGAAGCCCATCTTTTGATTATATATGACAAATAATTCGTGTTTTCATTGTCGAAGGTTTTGGATGATACTGAGTTAGAGACTTAGCTACTTTAATTGTAAAAAGTAAACAGCTAGGGTTTGAGTTACTATTGAACAGGTGAAAATGGTTAGGGTTACCATGGCATCGGTAAAGGGGTTATGGTTGTTATGGAACAGGTTAATAGGGTAGGGATCTCATGGAATGGGTAAAAGGCTAGTCACATTTTTTCCGATTTTGAATGAAGTTAAAACATGTGTTTATATCCCAACGATCTCAATTCCGTTCGATATTCACGCATATCGGACCGTAACTTCCTGGATTATGGCCCCTGATTTTTACGGAAAATCACGCTTTCTTTAGCTTGTTCTCTGTCCATCTCTTGCATAATGTGGGCCTATCTTGTTGGGTACTTTGGTGATAATAGTCGCAGATAAGGCATTACATTAAAAGTAAGCATTTGTTTTCTTCTCGTTTCTGTTTCAGGTTCATGAGAATTAAAACATCACGCCAGGGTATTTTAATTCTCTGGTTTCTTCTCGTCATGTTTTTACTATATCTAATAAATGATGGTTTGAAAAGTGCCGTACAAATGCACGAAGCCGGGGTTGATAGTGAAGAACATAATTTTGTTTCAAAAAGAGTGACTAAAAGCAAGCCTTTTATGGAATCTAAAATGAAAAACCTTCAAACTTTTAACAGTGAAAAATCACTAAACAATAGTGAAACGTTGTACTCAAATCCGCCGGAACTAAAATCCGAAGATTCCTTGGAGAATATAGATGTGGATTATTTGATATATTTGATCCATCATACATTTCCAAAAGAGGGTGACCCGAAATATCCAGGATTTAATGAAACCAGGAGTCATTCAATACCACTAGATAGAACTACTAACTATCATACATCCGAACAATGCCAAGGTCACAAGTGGTTTATCCCCCCTGATATGAAAGTCAGCATAGTTATACCGTTTATAAACGAACCGTGGTCAACTTTGTTTAGAACTGTTATCGGAATATTAAAAAGGACACCATTAAAATATTTACACGAAATAATACTAGTTGATGACCATAGTACCCGGGAATATTTACTGGAACCTTTAGAGCGTGTCCTCAGTCCTTTTAAACACATTTCAGTAATTCGTACACCATATGCAATGGGACCAGCTTCAACAAGAAACTATGGAGCGCGGCACACTAAAGGCAACGTCATTATTTTTTTTGATTCTCATTGTGAAGTGGGCAGTAGATGGATAGAACCATTACTAGATGCCATTGCTAAGGATACAACTAGAATTGTGACCCCTAAGATTGGTGTTCTTTCACCCGACACAATGGAAGCACGCGGTGTTGGGGATAACATAAGATCTCTCATTAATTGGTCTCTCGGTTCCTTATTTGGATCATTCCCAGAGTCAGTTTTAGAAAAATACAATATTACCGACCCAATTCCGCTACCATCTTTAATGGGGGCTGTCTTCGCTATGGATAGAGAGTACTTTTTTAAGATTGGGGGTATGGGAGATTATTTTAATGGTTGGGGTGGAGAGGATGTTGATCTAGCTATTAAAAGCTGGTTGTGTGGCGGTGGTCTTGCTCTATGTAGATGTTCAACAATTGGCCATGTTTATAAGGCGCATCCTTACGTTTTTACCAATAATCCTTTGAATAACGTGGCGTTAATGGCGGAAGCCTGGATGGGGGACTATCTACCCATTACCAAATGTGTTTTAGTGAGAGGAAATCTTCTCCCAAAGGTGGACACGACCATTCTTAGGTCAACTTTGGCCTTAAAAGAAAGGCTGAAATGTAAACCCTTTAAATGGTACCTAGAGAATGTCCTGCCTGAGTTAGAGATTCCAGAAACGAATACTACCTTCTACATGCTGCATAGTCATAGTTCTTCATTGAGTGTAGGTACAGACATGAAAACGCTTAATTTTATTCCCAATGCACAGGAAATAGCTTGTGGTGTATCAGTTGTTAATGATAGACTTAAATGTAAAGATCGGTGCTTGACCATCAAAAACGCTAGTTTAATTTTTGACACATGTGATGCTGACAACAAATATCAATATTGGAAATATTCCGATGATGAAATCCGACCGTATTTTGATAATAAATTGTGTATCGCTAATAGTTATAAATCTGCTATTTTAAAACCGTGTAATAAACACCTATCAAAAATTAATCACCAATCAAGCTTTGCATCGAGATGCATCAAGAAAATTGCTTGAAGACATACAATAATATTCCGATTCAGTCAACTATGAATATTATTGGATATCCAGCGAAATGATGTGCCCATTATAACTTGATGGGAACTTTAAAACAACCGGAACCTGTAAAGTATTGGGACTAATAAATTAAAAGGTTTACCTCTAGTTTTTCTTCTTCTTCTCCCAATAAAATAAATGTTGCTTTCATGATGTCATGGATTATTCTGATTGGTCGTCTATAATTAAGGATTTCACTTATCAAACCCTGTTGTACGCCTCTGCTGTATACGTCTATTGCTTGTCCCTGGGAAGGTACCTACAATACCAGAGTCACAATAATTGAAATGGTTATAATTGCTTTAAGGAAATTTCCCAAGAAGTACACCCTACCTTCAGCCAAAAATCTAATTTAAATAATAATCAAGCACATTGTATATTTGCTGCATATTCTCTATTATTTGTCTACCACTGACATATTTGTATCATTTATTTTATAAAGACGAGTGTTTCCTCGTCGAAACATCGCTTAGTAATAAACACAGTAATAGTGTATCAATAAAATTGTAGCTTTTGTTAATATTGATCAATTAATAAATGCCTATCAAGAAAACATTACATTTATTAAAGTGAGAGGTATTAACCAGTATCACGGTGTGGCTTGGTACCCGATTTGGCTTGGTTCCTTGTGCATAGCACTTATGTTAGAAAGCACATGTTGGGGAGCCACTTGTTTAATTGATACGCTTTTCATCTCCGCGAAATCTATTACACTTACATGTTGTTAATAAATGTCAAATACAACTTTAATGTTACTTACATTAACAGTCTTCTGTTCTGTCTTTGACTGAATCAAATAATTACAAACATTTCTACACGGGCGTGATCGTTTCTTATCTCTCGCGTTAATCTCTAGAACTAGTTTATCATCAGCAATTTCCATTGGAATGACCACCTTAATAGTCAGTTTGTTGTCTGCAGACACGTTGGTACTAACACATTCTTGGAGCTTTTGGTGGTTATAGAATCTGTGATATAAAACTGGGTTAACGGCGATTCCAGGAGATATCGTAAACTGGAAAATCTTCTCCAGATTCTTCGGAGTTAGAACAACCCCTTGGTAAACAGATGGTAAAATCAAACCATTAGTCTTGGTACGAAGGTTGTATCCAAAACCAATAATAGGATTTTTGGGCAGAGGTACACAATTTGGAAATGGACTGGAACAATGGATCTGAAACTCCGCGACGATCTCTTGTCGCGTCCATCCAGCCCGTATACTCAGTTTATAAATACCAGTAATAGGAAGTCGGGCTACAAAAGAAATTTTGTGTCTATCAGTGTAAATGTAGGAATAGCCTTTCAGTCGTAACGTGTCCTGGGTGCTTTTACAAGGTAAACGTTCATCGTAGTACAATCTATAACTGAACAACATCTCGGAATCCAAGTTATTTTTAAACCGTATCTCAGCCTGCCCGTCCGGTGCTTGAATCACCCCTTTTTCTCTGGACATTAAATTCATCTCATAAAGAAAAAAGGATTCATGCAGGAACGGCACGGAGACGAATTTCTGGTATGTCCACGGATTCTCCATTAACTGCCATCTTTTCATTTCTTCATTTGGTAAACAAAAGTAACAAAATTCGTCAGGATCGGTAAGAAAGTAAAATTCATCAATTCCAAAGACTTGATAACCACCCGATGGTTTTTGGTGATCGATCATTCCACGACTTTCCGCTTCTAGAGTTGTCCATCTCCCATGGTTGTATCCAACAAGACCAGTGAAAGCCCAATGACAGTGGATGATTCGCCATTCCCCGTCTATAAAAACACAATTCCAGATACTTCTCGAGTCATATAGATCGTCATCCCCAACCTCATATCGTGCCCCTTTAGCAATACCTCGTACAATAACACATGGTATATTTATAAATCTGTAAAAAGAGTAAACCACGGTTTTAAATTGGTCATAACTCTAACAATAAAAGATATCATTTTCTTGGATACATCTGTTTCTATATTCTAACAAGCGATTCTTAGTGTATGGATTTTCGGGCCCAGTGACCCCACCATTGCTCTTTTGGGTATCGTGGTTTCAATCTTAGATTTTTATGTGAGAGAGAGAGAGAGAGAGAAATGGGGTTTAACGTCCACTCGACACAAACTAGGTCATTTCGGGACTAACATATGGTTCAACTTTATTTCAATAATTTGCTTGCGCGTAGGCGTGTTTAGCAGTGGGAGGAAACTGGGGGACCCGGAGAAAACCCACGAGGTTGGACAGGCGACCCTACTCCTTGTCATGTACAACCGGGGATTCGAAACCACGCCAGTTGACCCAATGACAGGCTTTATGATGAAGCGCTAACCTGCTAACCATTCGGGTATCCACCCCCCTTGTACGTGCCATGGTCACAGGTTATTGTCACCTGTGTTTGGGAACCTTCGCGTGGATTTAAAGAACAATATTGGTGTCAGTCATTATCACATATGTGTGATAGAACTGGTTAAACACGTTCCAAATATAATTTTAACACAGAGATCATATCTACGATAGATGTGTAACGATAGTTTCTTCAAAGACCAAGTTGTTATATGAGACTGTGAGAGGATATCTGACAATTCAAAGAAAAATAATTGAATGTCATTACGATTCTTCAAATCTTCGTTGCGCATCTATCGTAGAAATGATCTCTGTGTTAAAATTATATTTGGAACGTGTTTAACTATAGTTCTATCACACATATGTGATAATGGCTGACACCAATATTGTTCTTTAAGAGTTAGACACGACAACAGACATTCCCTGGGATACTGTTAACGAAAGATGGGATGCAAACCAAATGATAAGTTGGGCTAGTTCGCAAATATAAAATTTCCACCGAAACCCCTAATTATGCGAATCGTTTGGAGAGAGAGAAAAGATTCTACAGAAAACTTAGTGTTACTTTGTCACTATGAACGTCACCCCTCGTGCGTAAACCATATAATTTTAAATATATTGTCAAACCTGCAAAGCTGTGCGAAAAATTCGGCGAATGTTCCATTTCCATTCTTCATATAAAGCATGTAGCCAAAAGGTGTTTTAATGTCGCTCATAACATCGTCCAAATATTTAATTCTCTGACTACCCAGCCAGATAAAAATAGATCTAACTTTCTCCAGATCAGTACTCAAACCAGTAAGCAGACTGTCTAACAATATCTCATAGGAATAACTATACTGTTGTGGAATCTGAAATGGATGAAATATACTCATTCTGCTAAGCTATATATTAAAAGTAGCATTGAATATTATTTGATAATGGACCTTATAATCTGCGCAATGACATGTAATTTCATATCCTGTGGTGGGAGGATTGAGGTCATTGGTTGGATTCAGAAACCAGAAACTGTGTTTATACAGGTTGTTAGTTAAATACTGTATATCTCAATTCTCTACGCCAACTAAATCCGCAATGCATCAGAAAAACACATATTGTTAAACATACATTATGCAAGGGCTAAATCTGCCTATTGCAGGTCGTTCTTTGGGCCTGAAATGTTATATAAACTATTAATTAGACATTTATTAACAAAAAAAGACCATTATCGACTGCTGATGGCATCAGATACTCGAGATTTTAACTAGATTGAAACGGTTCGCCATTTACAAATTTAATTTAAAAATGGGAAAGCGAGGCTAAGTCCCGATTATACCAGTGCCCTGGTTACCACTGTGCACACATCTTGTCAAAACTACAAACAATGATAACTTGGCTGAGAATGATGTAATTTGAATGAAATTTTCAATATTTTCTCTTTTTATCATCTATTTTTGAATTATTATAGCAAGAATGACCAACTCTTTATTAAACTCTTAACTAATGTATCTTTAACTCTTGTTGCATAATTTTATCCTAGCACTGTACAAACGGGAGTCATCTGTTGATCAATGAGTATGGCGCGGGCACACCAACCAAGAGATCCCGAAAAATGAACGCAAAAAGCGTCTGATCGTTCATTTGTGATGAAAAATCAAGGTACACCAGTGTACTCGTTTTATGTTTCACCATAAGATTGTCCTGAAGTCACAAATTTAAATTTCGTGCTATGTAAGTACCGGGATAACCACGCTTATATGTACTCATCGGAATGGTGTTGACATGGGGGTCATAGCGATTAATTAAATCCCATGTACAAGTTCGTAGCCTCGTTAGGCAAATCTAACCATTTTTTTCATATTTTGATTTGTAGCTGTGATAAATTGAGCTGCTGTAAATTGTGTTAACTCTCCAAATTTTATCCCAAAGTCAACCCACTGTATTTTCTACAATAAATCCTTTTGTCATTGTCAAATGATAACGCAAACTACTTGTAACCCATCAAAAATTATTGGTAACTTAAATATTTGATAATTGTAATTTTTTGAATGGACTTTTTCAATATCAAGCTTAAAACGTATAGTATGGCATCGGGCCAATAGAACGGAATGGAACAGTTTTACCTACCATAGCAGCTCTTTTATCTATGTGTAGAAAAAGCTCTGGTTCATAAAATGTTTTCTTTCTTTTTATAGGTGGACATGGTTCTGGATAATCATTTAAACAGTATTCTATATTCAGCTGAAATAGATTTAGTTTTAAACATAGACCCCTTCAATTATTTCAAATACTGACAACTCCCATTCAAAAATCGTGTTTTGGTTTCTTAAGATACTTACCTCAGCAACATTCTGAAAATCACCATCGTCACCATTAGGTTCCACAAGGTTACTGTTTCCTGTACCCATGGTAACGACGAAAAATATTTATATCAGCTTATAACATAAATGCCTGAAAATTAGACGTAAGAATATAATGGTCATAATCTTGGTTTGGACCGAATATTATATTTTATATATTTTGTTCAGTGACTTTTGCAATTGGGCTTCTTTTACAAAACTTTGTCGAACGCAGACGTTCCTGTCTATAAAGAGATTATTTTATGTTCAAGTAAAATAATGTTTTCCGTGTTCGCTGATGATATACGATCACGAGACTTCCCGAAATAACATGGTAGAAGGCTGCATTATGTGGCTGCAGTAGTGAGCAGACATCCAAAATGTGTTTTGAATGATCTGAGGCAATAATTAGTATGAATTCCCCCCCCCCCCCAACAAAATCTCAAATATACCTGTATGTTCTCTTGTCTTGATTCTTTCATTTCAGCTACATATAATGTCTGTTTTCAACTGATGTTTCCTCGGTGAACCGTTTCTATTTACCGTTTTCGATTTTCATGAATAATTTAGCATTTCATTTTAAAGAGCTGTTGAAGATTTCTGATCTTCAGTTCTTTACCCAGATTGAATATCATCCCAGATTCTTCATTCTAGATTAAACGTTTACGATTACATAAAATGAAATGAAATGGGATTTAACGCCCTACTGTTCTACTCCGACTGGGCTAATGAAGACGGGCATATTCCAGTGTGTCATGAGGGAAGTTTTGTCAGACAGGGGCGCTAAGGCCTACTCTTATATCGAATTCCAATTGCCAGGGGATCTTTTACGTGCACGCTTATGTTACACGGTACCTCGGTTTTTCGTACCATCCGCACGACTCGACAGCTGTCCTTGTCAGGCCCCATTCTGCATCACTGATGAACTTAATTGGCCAACACCGGCGGGGCGAACCCGCGACCTACAGGTTAGCGAGCCAGCGTCTTACTCACTTAGCCACCATGTCTCCACGAATACATAAATACTGACAGATAATTGGTTTATAATGAATGGCGTGGGTGCCTTTTACCGGAATAAGCCATTTCAAATTGATTCTAGCTCTACTAGAAAAATATGAACAATGGACGTAATCCCTTTATTGCGTCAAAACAATCCCTAGATTAGTTTTCATTAGATTCTCATATAGCACCAGAGCATAAATCATTTATCTATGTCTATGATATCACCTTGGGTGGAAGCGGGCGTAAAACCAAATAATATAGTATTTACCAATAAGTTGGCGTATAACGCCCTACTTTGTACATCGATTGGGCTCATGAAGACGGGCGGGCGCCATACAGTGTGCTATGAGGGGAATTCTGCCAATGTGTACACAGGACCTCGGTGTTTCGACCTTCCCACCTAGACACTAGTCTCTATCATCCAGACATATATTCTACGAATATTAGTCTGGATACGTTGTCAACATTTGAGAATAGTAGGTCATTGGCTAGATTATCCGGTCTTTTACATTATCATAAACAACGTCTAAAGGAGGTAACTCCTCTTAAAACAAGATGTTTACGCTCATGAAATTAATTTAAAAATGTCATTTCAAAAAAATCCATTTGATTGCATGTCAGTTAATTTTTTCATTGTAAATTTTCTCTCTTCATGGGCCATATCTATGCTTTTTAAATTAATCCCAATTCGTCGTCACGATTCATGTTTGCTTATATTAATACAAGAATTATGGTATTTATTATGAGAAGGGGTGCAACTCTTACTTGACTTGGCCAAAGATACTGGATAATCAACCACATTAAAAACCAAACTCCCGGTTACGCATGGGCAATGGACTTTACGTCAAATAGTGACAACGGTCCCAGACCCTCCGTATGTTTAAGACTAGGAGGTTCTGGGTGACCGAGACTACCTAGACACTGTCCTTACTAGGTCTTTCGTCCTGCATCCACTGACAAGGGGTGGACGCCACACTGATAAATCCCGGGATCTTTCTAGACCAACGTCAGGATCGAACCCCGCAGATCTTGGTAATTGAGTCACCGCCTTACTCACTGAGCCACCGCGTATCCCCATGTATCGGGTTATATAATAAAAACATGCAAAGTTATATGTCTTGACATTGCGAAAACGAACTAGCGTATTCCGGGATTCGAAAACTGAGAAAAATCTGAATTATTCTAACGCGTTTGGTATTAGCCAGTGATTAATGTTACAGGGTTTTGTTGAATACAACAGATGGGGGAAGTGGTATCAGGTATTCTAGAATACAATGTCTCAGTGATAATAAGAGAATATCCTATATAGGCATGATGTGCTTCACCTTTCTGAACGGACTATAAAAAGAAATTGGACTAAGGATAAAGTTGGAACCATTAAATACACTTATGATTTCTATTTAATTCAACACAAAGTATATAATATGTAGCTTATTTGAAGCAAACACATACAAGTATTGTGCACAGTGATATAAATCATGGTGGCATTTTAAAGATGTGGAAATTTATAGGAGTGCTGTGTACGTATATATATATATATATCATTATGTGAATCTAACACGATTTCTAGCTTTCTAAAGCAGGTCGATTACAATAAATAACCTGAGTAATCTTATTATCGTTAAATATATTTTCAAATAATATAATCAATAATAAATATTTCTTACTTAATGTTTCTAACCAAAGAATATAAATTCGGATGTCAAAATGAAAATAAAAGATGAATGGAAATCAGTAAAGATTGAGTGTTAAAAAATCAATATTCATCACAGCTGGTTGGTAGTTGAGATAATTTGTCATGAAATTATCAATATATAATACTGATAGATGGGGGGTTGTATAATCAGTGAAAATAACTTCAACAAATAATCAACAGCTGGAACATACATAATGTATATCAAAACACTTATCTGGCATTACATCATTCCTTCAATCAAAATATTAAATCTATAACTTGGAGTGGTAAACCAATTTGTACGGCCACAGATATTCGCATATTAAAAGAATATGTAAAGCAGTAATTGTGGCCTTCTAACCCGAACATGCCACAAACCTTGAATCTTAAAAATCTGGGCTTTTGGTTACGGAGGTCAAAAAGAAGCTATAGGTCGCCAGACACATTTTTCTTTAACAAATTTTATCTTTATTGAAAGCACTGTAAAGATTTCCCAGTGATTACCACGCGAAATTAACCCACCTTGCAAATTTGTACGTTCTTGGTTGACTATCGTTAGGCTTTGCATCAGTTTTCATTTGACATTTTATAGCATGGCAGATCACGTTGGCTGCTTCAGGGCCCCTTAAAACAAGTTATCATGGACACGTTCATGAATTAGACGAAAAGTTAGAGATTGATAGAATAATTTAATGATAAAATCTTCATGTTCGTGTTCGTAATCGACTCTTTATACACCTTTTGTAACACTATCTTAGTGATAACAGATATCAGTTTAGTAAATATATCATTTATTTACATCAGGTATATAAAACAGCTACATAAATACACCAGTAACATAATATTATACTATACTCTTCAAAAAAAAGTAGGGGATATT